TGTTGTCAGCAAGGTCTTGGCCACAAATTCATGGCGGCTCTGAACTTAGCAGCCGCCACAAGCACACTCGCACATGGTAAAAATTCTAGAAATATGAGCTTCCTGGAATGCAGCTAGTGGTGTTGATAGCCATTTTTGCACACATCTGGCATTGCAGCTTAACAAGACACAAATAATACGAATCGAAGGCAAAACAATGGGCTCGGCAAGGCTTCTGTCTTCTTTGTTTAAGAAAAATATAAACAAAGCCAAGTGCAAATGTAAAGGAATAATGGATGGATCGATCCAACTACTCTTCTTTTTCAATGGTTTTATTGTCTTTGGTAATGTCGAGGACAAAGAAATCCAATAATATTAATAGCTTAAGAAAATCTAAGCCTGCTCAGGAAGAAATAAAAAATTGGTGCATATAAAATTAAATAAAATCCACATTTTCTATTGACCAGGAATATATACAAACTTGGGCATATAATTTCTAATTGTAATTTTTAAATTTAATAACTAGTGGTTAAATATGGTTCCTCAAGCCCCTGCAACTTGGAATATATTTTCCAAGAGTAGCTTTACTTGTTAAGAGCAAAAAAGCAGCACTTTCAATGGGGTTCAATGAGTTTGCTCCCGCGGGCGTAACAAGTACACAAAGGCAAAGGTAAATCCACCGCCGGCGGCAGCTGAATGCTGATCGCTGACCCATTTATGCAGATTTCGTTGGCGCAACAATGGCTTGTAGCAGCATAACAATTACAGCAAAAAAAGGCAGCCACCGTGCAGTGCAACAAGTACAACAAGTACAACGCAAGAGCAACACTCTTGTGGCCCTTGTTGTTGCTTTGGTGGCTTGGTGTCTTTAAAGGCTGCGATCTTGTCGCCGAGAATTTTTGGTCATTTGTCATGTTGATTTATATTTGCTCATTGGCATTAAATGCTTAACAAGATTTTCACGCGGCTCTTGGACCGCTTGACCCAAAGTCGGCGGCAACCTTGAGCGGTTCAGTTTGAGACCGTTTCGCTTCCTTTGTCGCCTCTGGCCAAAAGCAGCTGACCCGATCCCGCTTTTGGACCCATGTTGACACAGCTTTGGCTTTGTTTTGGTGCGAAACACTGGGAAAAATACAGTACGAGAGAAGCTGGGGAATATTATAAATAGCTAATTGTGAATTAAGTAATAACCAACCTTGTAAGGTTGCCTTACAATTAAACATTAAATAAATGTAAATAGAAAAAATATTTAAAAATATTAAAATAAGTTAAAAAGATTAAAATGTTATCCCATATTTTATCCTGGATTTTTCTTTATACATATGACCCAAACTTCAGTTAAGAATTTTCTGTGATCATAATTTATATGATTTTAAAAGGATGTAGGTACAGTGTAGCTGGTACACCCAGAATAACAATGTTTGTAAATAATATTTTAGATAAATACCCAGTTAAGAAAACATACATACTTACTTTAAACATTATTTTATTTTATTCTACAAATGTAGTCCCAGATTTCTCGCCCAGTGCAGATATAACACAGTTTTAGGGGAGATATGATCCATATTTACCCAGCCCCTGAGTCACTCGTTAAGTCATGAGAGATGTGTCAGTTTATAGCTGACTGGCCTGCCGTCTGGCATTTGCAATCGAAGGACCCGAAAGACTTATCTCCGGGACTCGACTGCGCTCCCCGCCTCCCGGTCAAAACAAACAGCACTTAAAATGTGTGTTTCTTGTTTGCCCGCCATGTAACAAGTGGCTGGCAGGCGGAAGTGAACTGGCCAAGGATTCCATGGGCGAAAGGCAAACACGCGCAGAGACGTGACTACCTGTGGCCGGTGAATAGAGCCATAAATACGATCGTTTGTCATAGAACAAGGGTCCTATTCTGCGACTCCTCCATGGACACTCCGGGTATCCGCCCATTAATCATGCAATTGTGGCTGCAACCGAATCCGGCAGCCAATTTCGTGGCGAGGCTCATCAATAAATAATTTGCGGGCAATAGAAAATGCATTGCGTGGGGTGGCGCTTAGATTAATGAAGGCGTCGCGATTAGAATCAATTTGAATTAATGAACATTTAAGGCGGCTCTGGAGTTTGTTTGGCCACAAACACGCGCAGCGGGAGTTTTGGTTGGGCGAAAAAATGAAAATACATAAAGGCCGAAAGCAAAACAAAAGACTTAGGCAACGAACTTGGCGGCGGCGTTGTGATTTTGGCCAAAATATTGGCCCGCCCGGCTTTCTGGCTTGTCGGCTGGCTTATTAATTTCACTTGCCTGGGCCATAATGAAAAGCGATTTTATATGGCCCGGCCGCCTGCCGTCGTTTATAATCAAGTTAAATGCGCGCGCGTCCATAAAAACTTGACTTATCAGCCAAATGGCAAGGCCAACAAATGGCGCAAATGCATTTAGGGGGGATTCCCCTCTACCACATATAGGCTATACTATACTACACCATTGCGAAAAATCTGCATATCGCTACGTTTGGAGACAGTGCGACCATTAACAGAATGATGTCGCTGAGTGAGTGCAAAAGCGACGCGAGCATTGCCTTTTTTATGGCACTTTTCACTCGCTTCGGTTTCGGTTTTGGTTTTAGTTTTGGTTTTGGTTTGGTTTTAACTCGGTTCGGCGTATTATGGAAAACCCCATACAACTTTATTGGCCAGCTCCCCGCTGTGTGCAAATATATAACTCTGTTTATCGCATTTCATTCGGCATTATTTATGCCAAAGTGAAAAGTACACGTAAAGAGGAGAAAATATATAATGGAGTGTTTGTGCTATTTCTAAGTGTTTTATTTAAACAATTTATAAATGAACTTAACTTTAAACAAATTTAAAATCTGCATTGGTTCCAAAGCAGATTGTCTATCTAATTATCAATCTAATCAAATTGGTTTAAATTAAATTAAAAAGCTACTTTCCAACAAGACTAATTTAATTTTTTCCTGTGCACTCTCTAAGCCAAGTTTCTCCTGCTGTCATTGGCATTGAAAACTATTCAAAATATTCCCGAAAATATCTGCGTGGCATCTTTTTGTCTCTCAATATTTTCGCTTTTGTTGTGTTTACCTTTCGCTGGAAATCAAGGAGACCAGACGCTATCGATCAAGCATGCAGCACATCACACGGAATGGAGTTTGGGATTGGGATTGGAACTGGGATTCGGGGATTCAGGGACTGGGGAGCTCCTCACACGCTTGCTTAGATTTCAACACAATGGGCAGTTTCGATTTCAAAGGCAGCGAGAGAACCCGGGCACGTAGATCGTCTCGGGAATGGTTATGGCTATATGGGTATATGGGATATCTCTGTGACGTTGATGCGCACCTTCGATAAGGATGAGGCCGGCGAACACACCTCAAAACGTTATGAAATGCGGAGGGAAGGTGAAAAGAAAACGAAAGAGGAAAGCCAATAGAGTGGGAAAAAGAAGGAGATGGCACAAAAACAGGAAAGAGTTGACACGGCTAATCCTGACGAATTGTTGTTAGCTGTCTGGGTTCATTCAACAATTGGCTCAGGACGAGAGTTCATTCTCCCTTATATGGATGATTTATTATTTAAATGCTTAATTCCTGGGCTTAACAAAATTCTTTAGTTTTTGTAAACGCATGTTAACATTAATTAACAGCCAAAAGCAAAGGTGTTTATAATTCCAACTCTTGTATCTTTAATTTGGTGTTGCTTAGAGAATAATGCAGAGTTATAAATGATTTAAAACCAGGGTTCATTGGTCTACTAATTTTAGGGCTTACGAATCTTAATCATTAAGATAAATTCTCTGCATTCCAAAAGAGCAATACAAATTAATGGTTTGGCTGCATAACTAGAAATTTCAGAAAACATAACTTTAAGTAACTTGATTTACTTAGTTTACTGAAAGATTATTCTGCTTTGTTATTGAATAATGTTGCTGAGCATTGAATAAAAAAAAGTTACTTAAAAACATACTAAGAATTTATTTGTTAGCAGCTCATAAGATGTCAATTAGCATGGCAACTGGTACTTCAAGTCCATATAGTATCCTTATCTTTCTACAAAGCTTGTGCAATGTAAGTTATATGATTAGAAAACAACTCAGTTAATTCCTATTTGATCTTCACTAAGTTCATATAACATATATAGTTTCTCCCTTTCGTTGTGGTTCATAAATGGATAGAAAAGTGTTAAGCCAATGCAGGCGCTAATCAAATTGAGACAACGAAAGTGTTAAGACGACTTCCAGGAATCGGGTGAACTGGGGGCTATTAAATGCCTGTTGGGCCATAAATCTGCAGATAAGACAATGCTCCACTGATAAGGACTGAGGGAGATGCTAGCCGATAAACGCTGAAAGAGGCTGCGCAAAGAAGAGACCCGGGTCGTAAAAACCGAAAACCAAACACACTAAATAAGCCATAGAAAAGACTCTAAGATGGGGTTTTATCGCCGCTTGTTAGTGTAAATTTACAAACACTTTCGAATGGGTGTGTGAAACCTACAAACACATTGAAAGGGGAGTTTTCCCAACAGTTTTTACTTTCAATGAAAAATTCTAAGGGGATTTCTTCTTGAACAGCAGATCGCTGTTATTCGATTAGCTCGAATTGAGCTGTTAGCGCACTTTGAGCGCCGCTCATTTCTCTCTCTTTACCCGTTATTTGCAGTTCTGGCCTGTTAACTCGCACTGTTAACCGGTAATCGTAGTTCTCGCACATGTTAACTCAGAGCGAATTGCCCTCGAACATGTTAACTTAGCATGCCAGCCGCTCTGTTAACCGCTAAATGTTAGGTCTGCCCCTGTTAACTCAACGGCTGTGAGTTTCCGTTCCAAGGCGGTTTCAGTTTGAAAATTTTTATCGACGAAAGCGGTTTTGCTCGCGGATCGTTTTCGTTTTGCCGTTCAAAACATTGCAATCTATAATCGTGCGTAAGAGAATCTGGAGAAATATGGATTTTTAAAATGTATTTACTTAGTTAAGCGTCTGAAGCAGTGACGAAACTGTGAGTGAGTGACGATCGTATCTTTGGGATACGATTTATGAATGGCGCGGGTGTGAACGAATTTCTTCGAGTCAACAAAAATCACCAGCGCGATAAACAGAGGCACACTCACACGATCGCGATTAAAAACAACACTCTCCATTTAACTATAAAGAAATCGTTTGTTTTTCGGAAAACAAATAAGAGAAAATATGAGAAACAAGCGTGGAAATTGCAGTTGCAAATAAAACAAACGCATCGTTTGTCAGGCTTGAATTTCGCACGGTTTCAGCACATCCCCCCAAAAAATAAGAAAATAAACATTCCCTTACCCCTTTTTTCGAAAGCAAAGAAAAAATATAAATAAAAACTATATACAGGAAAAATGTAAAGCTAAATAGTGCATAAAAATCGGTTTTCTTTGCGGTTCGGTTCCGTTCTTATAGAGTGTGCGTGCGTTTCTGCTTCCCCCTATCTGTCTCCTTCTCTTTCTTCTGGCCCCACCGCCATCTCTTTCTCTCGTCAGCGAGAGAACTGGGGGAACGCGTGTGCTTTTGTTTTCGATTACGTTTACTACATTTTTTGTACGCCCCATAGAAAAAAACATGACGAAATGTTGTTGTTGAAAACGAGAAATAAATACAAGTGATTACAAGAAATTTATAAAATAAACGAAGTAACGAAAATAAAAGAGAAATTATACATCTCAAGATATACGAAAAGAAAAGTATTGTGAAGAAATACACAAAAGCGAAATTCTATTTGGTGTTTATGGAATTTTCAGTGGTGTTGTGAAACCGAAAAATACGAAAGAAGCAAAAGTTACAGATACTCTCTTCTCGTGAACCAGCTGCAAACGCATCTAAAAAGGTAAATAGAGCTTCGGGACCCCATGTCGCTTATCTTCGGGGGTGGGTAAACAAACCAGCTTATCTGAAAGACCATTGTGATCTGCAGATTTCCAGATCTCGGGATCTCTGTGGTTTATGAGTGGCTTCGGGGCTTCCTAGAACGAAACGTCAGAGTTTTAGATACACCTTGTGATTGTCGCCGGGTTTGCCACTTACTTTCACTCCCCAAAATTTACCTGAGTTGCTGGGTTTTCTAGTCTCTTGCTCTCCCCCCTTTTTGTGGCTCAACTTTATCTTGTCAGCTGCGAGCCGAAAATGATAGTGATAACCTATTTAATATATGTTTACAGTTAGTTAGTCGCTGGCACTATCTACGCGACGCGATTAAGCCAGTTTCTTGAGTTATCTCAGATTGCTATTGGTTGCTTTTGGTTCTGATCGGTTTTCTTTGGCATTTCCGCTGCTGTTTGAATTGTCAGCGTTTATTTCGATTCATAAATCATAATCGCTGTGTAGTTTGTTTACACTCTTGTCGAGTGGTGGTTCTGTCCCCTCGGTAGTTTGCCTTCCATTCCATGGGAATAAACACCGAAAAGTGCACAAACAATTCGATTTGCATACTTATTGAGAACTCAGCGTAATGACAAAAACAGAATTTCCGGTTCTATGGTGCGTCATCGGCGTAGATCGCTTTTAACCCCCGAGTTTTTGAGCTGGCGACCCGTTTTGTCTGCCATAACAGCACTCTTGATATGGTCCGCCCTTTATAATTTTACAGCATAGCCACCTTATATATAAACTCGTTTTTTCATTGTGTCTGCCTTTGTTGTTTATACTCCACATATGTACCGATAAGTATGTAAATAAGTTCGCAGCGAAACACTTGTGCTGGGTGGTTGATAAAATAGCAAATTTCAGGTAAATAAAACTGAAACAATATTTCGGCTGGCCTGGCATTCTTCTTCTGGCTGGGAAAGACCCAAAAAATAAATGAAATACATATCTATGAGTTACATGGAGTTATAGTTTGAAATATAGTAATTTAGGGAACTATTATAAAGTTAGAGAATCCTCATTCCTATTATATAAGCTAATAGTAATACTTGATTGTTTTATTCATTAAACGAAAGAGAAACTTATCTTCTTCAAACCTTAAAACTAAATATAAAACTAAACAAACAATAAGTCTCCCAACTTAGCAGCTAATCTCTTCTCCATAATCTCCCTTGATTTTAAATTAAATAAAGCAATGTTACACCCAATTCAGCGGCTTAGAAGCTAATCTCTTCCCCAGATTTTCTCCGATTTAACAGAAACGCTTTCCCCCAGTCGCGCTGCTCGCAGACATTTATCAGGCGGGGCAGGTTCATCAATTTCTTGTGTGATAAATGTCGTACAAGAATCTACACAAATATGCATGTCTCCTCTCCAGCTGCCGGGTAGAAGCTGAGTTGACAAAATGATTTGTTTGGGCGCCCCATGTTTTGTGTTTATTGTCGCCAACCTCATGAGAGCAGAGCATCTTCATGATCGCTGAGCGCCACCCTGAACTTACGGCCAGAATCTCGCAGATCCATCTGCAGACTGGAGCCCAAAAACAGCCACTAATTTCAAACAATGTAAGGCATTATTTATTTTTAACTGAGGTCATCAGCGTAGACATCGTCTATTACAGAAACGCCCGTCGCTCTCGCCCTCTAGAATTTTTCATCTCATCGTGCTGGGAGCTCCCTCCGGTTCTCCGATTCTCCGGTTCTCTGTGCTCTGTATGCTCCATTCTCTGTTCTCAGTTTTCCGATCTTTACACAGAAACAAAATATGACCTCAAATGAAATGATTTCCAATCTACGTTTTTATTGGTTCTCAAATATCCGATTATAGGCTCTTTGTTATTGTTGATATTATGATATGTTATGATCTTAAAAGGAAATGGATTGAATATCTTTTTAATATCGTATCTTATCGGTTTTCTAATTTATTTTTATTTATTTTTAGTGAAGTATTTCTTAAATCTTCTTCTTTTAAGAAATACTTCACTAACACTTACCCGAATTTTTCCTGTGTACCGTTTCGAGTTCTATGGTGTTGTTCTTATTTCAAAGTTAATGTGCTTGGTGCTGTTTTTTGTTCAGCTGTTGAACTCGAACTCTCACCAAATTATGCCACACACACACACTGCGATAGCGGGTGAAAGAGAGGGGTAGCCCAGCGGGGGAAAGAGAGGGCGAGCGGTTTAGTTGGGTTTACAAAGATCCAAGACCCAAGACCCAAGACCCAATGCCAGCGGGGCCAGCAAACATTATTTGAAATATTTATGCTTGACTTTTGCGCCTCAATGACTTTTGAATTGCCTTGCCTTTGGCTGCCCGTTTTTACACACACGTGTTTGTATCTGTATCTGTGTTTTATGTCGGTTCTTAAAGATACGCGCCGATCTCTGTGTATATTTTTACATGCCCGCGCACATATGTTGCATCAATGGATCTCCGGCATCTATGTATGATATTCCTAACCCCACCGGGGAAAACTACACAAACATTAAAGACACATTAACCTGCTTTTAATTTGTCAATATTAGCTGGTCAAAGTCGTTTCGTCCGAGAAGAAAGGCCTTTCTTTCTCGGGTTCTCAGGCCACACTTTTCATTTCTTTCGGCCATCGCCGGATGGTTGGAAAGTGAGGCAAAACGACGAGGCAATAACTCTGCACGACAGACCCAGCATGTCTGGTTGTCTGAGATGTTGACCTTTTCACAGCTGGAACCATCTCTCACATCATATCGTTTGTGGGGTTCTTTTCGGTCCTCCAGCATTTTGGCCCATTGCTCGGCCGCTTGTCAATTTCTGTCAGTTGCTTGTCAAAAAATTTGTTTGGCTGTAAAAAATGCAGTGAAAACGTTTAACACAGACCACCAAAAAACCGAAAAAAAAACCAAGAAAAATGAAAAACAATCTGAAAAACCAAACACGATTTTCATGTAAGCCATCCAGAAAATGATTGACGAACCGCACTGACGAGCTGACTAACTTCCCTCCGTACAATGTGAATACGTACTTGTGTGTATATGGTATTGTGAATTCCCAGTCCCCGGCTGCATAATTAACCTTTTGGCCGGACTTTTGAGGTATGTGCTATAGTACTACACCCATGTCCGTTCGTTTGCCCGGTCTGTTTGCCTTTGTTTACAGCGTAATTTGTTGATAAATAAATGTGAAAATGCAAACAAATCGGTGAACAACAACCACCGTGCTACGCAATCGACGTCCGCTGACTAATGGCTCCCCAGCTAATCTATGTAGCTCCCCCTCTATAAGGTGCCTTTTAATATATAACAAAAGGGCTCCGTTCCGTTGGACACGTAGAAATATGGGCTGTTTTCTTTTTCGGCCGGGCATTCCCTTTATGGCATACTTGATCTTTTGCCAATTTGTCTTAAACTGACACGTCTGCTGCGCAGGTTCGGTGGCAATTTTTTTGTCACCTTAGAAATTGAGGTGGAAAAATATGTGAAGGGCGTCGCCTTATGGCGCCGTTCAAAATGAGCGAAATTAGCATTTTTTAACGAACTCTCAGCTCGGTTATTAATTTCTGTTTTTGGCCGAAATCACCAATTAATTAACGCTCGCTGGCGCGGCAGGTGATCTTTCTCTCTACGATGATCTAATCCGCAGCATTCAATGGCCGTAATTAGCCTCAATTAATTTGGCATAAAAGCGGAAATGGAAAAGTGCTGGTTCGAGCGGATGCAAAAAAGACAAAAAACAGCTAAGAAAAACCAAAAAAAAAGTAAAAATGTGTTGGAAAAAATTGTCTTAATGATAGACATTCACTTTTTATGGACGCGCGAGGTGTGTGTCTTAATGGAGTGAAATTTCTGGTAATTGAGCGAGACGAGCTTTTGACTCTTGGGTGCGCATTTGATGAATTTTGAGCCAGTCTATATATTTTCGCAGCAATTTGGCTGGCTTTTGTTTTTGGCACGGCTGGGTGAGTCGGCTTCTACGGCGGCCACAGCCTTCTTCTTTGGATTTCGACTTTGCTTTTGCCCCGGCTGCTGTTGTGCTGCATTTGTTATGCAAATAAAGTGCCGCCATATGTATGAAGTCGATACACTCGCATACATATGGACTAAGAAACTGAAATACTGCCACAGTCAGTCGGTAGTAAACAGAGAGAAAAAATAGCCACAGAACTGGACGATCAATCAAGTTTAAGTTCGAAACAAATGTCTATTGAAAAAAACTAAGGCCTTAAAGGTCTCATAATAAGTTGTGATCTTTGATAATAAGGCCTATGCTTATTAAGATCTTTCATAATAATTTATTCCAAACAAATAATTTTTTTAGATAGAGATTTTTTAAAGATTTTTATATATTATTTCCAAAGAAGTCTTTTATTTTTTTACTATGTGATCAATGTGGCAATCACTTTTGTTAGTAGTTAGAAAAGCACTTAAATATTTGCAGATTTTTTAATCATATGAAATGAAAGACCTAAAATATGATTACAAAGAATATAATAGGATGTCTAAGAATCTATATGATATCGATATGTCTCAGCTGCATTTTTTCCCTGTGCATTGGAGCTATAGTTGGAGCCGGAGATGGAGTTGGCCGGAACGGGCCCAGTCGGTTTGGGCCAGCTCAGACCGGCACACCACACAAAATTGAAATAAACTGAATCCGCGAACTGGTTGTGTAGGCAGCCCACGTACAAGGTCTTCAAATATGGCTCTTTATTTAGCCGATGTTGCTGCTCTTTTCTAAGCATTTTTCTTCTATTTCTTGTGTGTTGGATTTTAGACGCTATAATAGCATTAATTTACCATACAATTTCATATTTATGGCCATTGTACGCTGAAGTGCAATTCGTTTTTTAAACTTTGTTTCTGTCTCTGACTTTTTGTGTTTTTCAATTTGTGCAGTCTGCAGTTCCCGAGTGAATGAGTGTGGGCGGTTTGTTTTCTTTTGCGCCCCATTTTTGGTTTTTAATTAAGTTTGTTGTTTATTTCAGTTACAT